TTCATTTAAGAAAATAAGAAATTTCATTTCATATTATACACTTTAAGCAATGTTCAATTAACAGGGTGCACAACCCAGTTATTTTTTAGAACAGTGCTACCAACCTGCTTAGTTTGCCAAGGAATCTCATGTTTGTACAAACTCAATAATTTCCCTCGAAACACCTCGGCAATTTGTTCTTGAATATCTAAGTCTGTCGTCACACCAGCCGAATATGGCCACTCTCCTGGCATTGCCTTGGCAACCATATATTGCCGCAACTGATCAACACCATCTCCAGTCAAAGCAGATACCATCAATACATAATCGAACCTACTCGACCCTCCGTGTGGTAAATAACCCCATTTATCCTTCTGTCTGTCATTTGTGAGCATGGCTGAGTAGTGCAGCAGTTTCACTTTGTGTCGAATTTGGTCAATTTTGTTCAAGATTAGTATGGTCGGCAGGTCAGGGTGTGTCTCAAGTAGTTTGATTATTTCATGGTGGATTCTGATTCGCTGATATTTGTTCGACGCGTCCGTCAGTACGGCCACCAAGTCGACTTCTTCCAGGCAGTTTGCAGGTGTGCGCATGTGCTCCTTCGACATTTTTAGACGTTTACCATCGTCAACTGTTACTATCCCTGGAGTATCCAGTAACACCAGCTGACTGTTACCTGAATGAAAAAAGCTAATTAGATTTGATAGCTCTGTCAGTTCTTCCTAGAGGTCTACTAATGGCCATACATATTATTTGTCCTGTACATGTACATGTACAGTATTTGGTAGAGTGAATAACTTACATTAATTCTCACATGCAACTGAGGGCATATAATAGTATATAACAGCATATAACAGTTCCTTTAAATCAACAAAAACAACATATTCACAATAAATTCACCCCATTAATTTGCACACTCCCTAGTTCGTATAGCAGACAGTTGGGCTCCCCCCTGATTGTTAACATTATCTATTATTCGGTTGTTTGAATTTTTCAGTCATGATTACAAAAATGCAAAATTAATTCAAACTTTGCACTAAAAATGAATATGACATACTCTCCGGAACCGGGGAATAGCCAGCCCCAAAAGGGGGGTGGTCTAATTGTCCATCCATCAGGAGGCATGGCCCCCCCTGTAAATTTGATTTTTAGGGTCTGTGAAATGCTATTTCATGCATTGTACACATGTTTTATGATACAGATTAATTGAGTGGATTTGGTATATTTGACATCTTTGATGAATTTAACATTAAAAGGTTACACCCCCCTTCCCCCGTTTCTCGTCAGCCCATTGTGTTAGGTTGGAACAAAATTCTTGTTGCCTGCGTATGGGCGACAAAGTCACTGGCAATACGCAATGTAGGCATAATATGTACTCAGTGGCATAGCCAGCTCGATAATTGGGGGGGGGGGGACATATTCATATATTCGTATTCACAG